TATATTCTTGCCTCCTTTGTCAAAGATAAGGTATCCATAGGTGTATGGATTTATCTCTGGGCTTTCTATTCTGTTCCATTGATCTATATTTCTTTCTTTGTGCCAGTGCCATACTGTCTTGATGGCTGTAGCCTTGTAATAGAGCCTGAAGCCAGGCAGGTTGATTCCTCCAGTTCCATTCTTCTTCCTCAAGATTGCTTTGGCTATTTGAGGTTTTCTGTATTTCCCTACAAATTGTGAAATTATTTGTTCTAGTTCTGTGAAAAACACTGTCTATAGCTTGATAGGTATTGCATTGAATCTATAGATTGTTTTGGGTAGTATACTCATTTTCACTATATTGATTCTTTGAATCCATAAACATGGTATATTTCTCCATCTATTTGTGTCCTCTTTGATTTCTTTCATCAGTGTTTTATAGTTTTCTATATATATAAGTCTTTTGTTTCTTTAGGTAGATGTATTCCTATGTATTTTATTATTTTCATTGCAGTGGTGAATGGAATTATTTCCTTAATTTCTCTTTCTGTGTTCTCACTGTTAGTGTTTAGGAATGCAAGGGATTTCTGTGTGTTAATTTTATATCCTGCAACTTTACTATAGTCATTGATTAACTCTAGCAATTTTCTGGTGGAGTCTTTAGGGTCTTCTGTGTAGAGGATCATGTCATCTGCAAACAGTGTGAGTTTTACTTCTTCTTTTCCAATCTGGATTCCTTTTATTTCTTTTTCTGCTCTGATTGCTGTGGCCAAAACTCCCAAAAGTATGTTGAATAGTAATGGTGAGAGTGGGCACCCTTGTCTTATTCCTGACTTTAGGGGAATGCTTTCAATTCTTCACCATTGAGGATAATGGTGAAAAGTTTTGCTGTGGGTTTGTCATATATAGCTTTTATTATGTTGCAGTGTGTTACTTCTATTCCTGCTTTCTGGAGGGGTTTTTATTATAAGTGGATGTTGAATTTTGTCAAAGACTTCCTCTGCATCTATTGATGTAATCATATGGTTTTTATTTTTCAATTTGTTAATGTGGTGTATTACATTGATTGATTTGTGGATATTGAAGAATCCTTGTATCCCTGGGATATAGCCCACTTGGTCATCATGTATGATCTTTTTAATCTGTTGTTGGATTCTGTTTACTAGAATTTTGTTAAGGATTTTTGCATCTATGTTCATCAGTGATATTGGTCTGTAACTTTCTTTTTTTGTGGCATCTTTGTCTGGTTTTGGTATTAGGGTGATGGTAGCCTCATAGAATGAGTTTGGAAGTTTATCTTCTGCAATTTTCTGGAAGAGTTTGAGTAGGATAGGTGTTAGCTCTTCTCTACATTTTTGGTGGAATTCAGCTGTGAAGCCGTCTGGTCCTGGGCTTTTGTTTGCTGAAAGATTTCTGATTACAGTTTCAATTTCTGTGCTTGTGATGGGTCTGTTAAGATTTTCCATTTCTTCCTGGTTCAGTTTTGGAAAGTTGTACTTTTCTAAGAATTTGTCCTTTTCTTCCAAGTTGTCCATTTTATTGGCATATAGCTGCTGACAGTAGTCTTATTATCCTTTGTATTTCTGTGTTATCTGTTGTGATTTCTCCATTTTCATTTCTAATTTTGTTGATTTGATTCTTCTCCCTTTGTTTCCTGATGAGTCTGGCTAATGGTTTGTCAATTTTATTTATCTTCTCAAAGAACCAGCTTTTAGCTTTGTTGATTTTTTACTATGGTCTCTTTTGTTTCTTTTGCATTTATTTCTGCCCTACTTTTTAAGATTTCTTTCCTTCTACTAACCCTGGTTTCTTCTTTTCTTCCTTTTGTAGTGCTTTAGGTGTAGAGTTAGGTTATCTATTTGACTTTTTTCTTGTTTCTTGAGGTAAGCCTGTATTGCTATGAACCTTCCCCTTAGCACTGCTTTTACAGTGTTCCATAGGTTTTGGGTTGTTGTATTTTAATTTTCATTCATTTCCATGCATATTTTGATCTCTTTTTTTTATTTCTTCTATGATTTATTGGTTATTCAGCAACATGTTGTTCAACCTCCCTATGTTGGAATTTTTCATAGTTTTTCTCCAGTAATTGACATCTAATCTTCCTGCATTCTGGTCAGAAAAGATGCTTGGAATGACTTCAATTTTTTTGAATTTACCAAGGCTAGATTTATGGCCCAGGATTTGCTCTATCCTAGAGAGGGTTCCATGTGCACTTGAGAAAAAGGTAAAATTCATTGCTTTGGGGCAAAATGTCCTATAGATATCAGTTAGGTCTAACTGGTCTATTGCATCATTTAAAGTTTGTGTTTCCTTGTTAATTTTCTGTTTAGTTGATCTATCCATAGGTGTATGTGGGGTATTAAAGTCTCCCACTATTATTGTATTATTGTTAATTTCCCCTTTCATACTTGTTAGAATTTGCCTTATATGTTGTGGTGCTCCTATGTTGGATACATATATATTTATAATTGTTATATCTTCATCTTGGGTTGATCCTTTGATCATTATGTAGCGTCCTTCTTTGTCTCTTTTCACAGCCTTTATTTTAAAGTCTGTTTAATCTGATATGAGTATTGCTACGCCTGCTTTCCAACATTTAAACTAGATGTAAACAGTCTAACTATTTGTGACACAGCAGTATATAATGTCAGATGTTTTAACTATAAACTAGATCCTAACACTTTCCTAAACTCATAGTATGTCATTTCTACCTCCTTAGCTCTACCTTCAAGAGGTTATTCCTAGACTTTATCAGGCAACCATCTTCTTTGGGGTGTGGTGCATGGTAAGAACAGTGGATCCATAATCATATGCCTTTTGCCACCCTTCCTTAGCCATAAAATGGCTCCATAGTCCATTATTATCTTGGATCCATGTCAATATATCACATATTTTGTGAGCTCTTGGACAGTTTTGCTGGCTGCAGTGCATAGACATGAAAAGCTAACCATATCCAGAATAACTGCCAGTCATGGTCAGAAAGAATTGCTGCCTTTTCCAGAATAGAAGTGTGACATAAACCTCTTTTTTTTCCCTCACAAGTGGCTGGTTAGTCTCTGGACAACAAGAATTCTAAAAGACAACTCTCTAAGATGTCCACTCCTAATTCCTGTGACTGTGAATATGATGATATATCATGCCCATGACTGTTACATTACATGGAAAAAAAATTTGCAGAGGTAGGAAAGTTACTAAGTCTTAAGTACCTATGTGTACTAAATTTATATGTGGCTATGAGTTATTTACATCCACCACTTGACTTTTTCTTTCTCTCACCAAAAATATTTTGTACTGGGGTATAGCAGGTTAACAATGGTGTGATAGTTTTAGGTGAACAGCGAAGGCACTCAGCCATTACATGCATGTATCCATTCTCCCCCAAAGCATTAGTTGACTTTGAGTTAATCATAATGGAAATGATCCAGGTATACCTAACTGAATCCTATGAGCCCTTTAAAAGCAGGGGCTTTTCACCTGGAGGTTGAAGAAGACCGAGCCAGAGAAAGAGGAAACAGGAAAATAACTCAACATACTTCAGCTGGCTTTGGAATTTGAGGCGTCAAGTGCAAGGTCTTGAAAGCAGCCTCGAGGAAGGCTAGAGAGGCTTGTTGAGAGTCAGCCAAGAAAAACACTCCTACAAACACACAGAACTCAGTTCTGTTAGCGATTTACACGAGTTTACATGTGGATCTTCCCCTGGAGCTTCCAGATAGGAGCTGAGCCTGGGTAATATCTTGATTTTGGCTATATGAGACCCTATGGGGCTTATCTAGGGTCTCACACTGGTTTCAGGCTTCTAACCTATAGAACTGTGTGATAACAAATCCTTGCTTTATGTCACTTGGTCTGTGGCAATTTGTTGTTCAGAACAGGGGGCATGGTGCCACACTGAGAGCTGTGTTTTCCTTGACTTCTAACTGTTGAGACATACAGAAGGATCAATAATTAGGTCAGTCTTGGCAAAAGGAAGCATGTGCTGTGTGCTTAGTTGCTGAGTCATGTCTAACTGTTTGCAACCCTATGGGCCCACCAGGCTCCCCTCTCGATAGGATTCTCCAAGCAAGAGTGTCAGCGTGGGTTGTCATTTTCTCCTTCAGGGGATCTTCCCAACCCAGGGATCAAACCTGTGTCTCCTGCACCACCTGCATCGCAGGCAGATTCTTTACTATGGAGCCACCTGAGAAGTCCATAAGGTGCTGTTGGGCCTGTACAAAGCTTCTGTGGCTGCTCTTTTTATGGGTTATTGGACAATCACGTGAGTTGTCAAGACCAGAAACTAGTTTATATTCTGAATTAGTCCTGTTTCCAGCTGGGTATCCACCGGTTCTTTTGCAGTTGTTTTGTTGTGGGTATTAGCTGAAGGTTAAAGGTAAAAATCTTCAGTTCAAGATATCCAAGGATAGAGAACATTGGTAGAAGTTACTAATGATATGCACACTTGGTTATGAAATATTTACATTTTTTCCTCCTACAAGCTAAGCAGCCAGAGTTAATGAACGTGAGAAGGATAATTAGGACATCGTTGCATTAAAAATGGTCAATCTATTATTGATTCTAATTCTCTGACTCTCCTGCTGGCAGGTTAGTGACCTCTGCAAGGGAAATTTTTTCTTAAGGTCTGCATGAAGAAGTTGGAGTTTCTTTTTTCAGTGTGTATATCCCAGTACACTGAAAACCCAATTCACCATAGTCCATGGAAGTCCCCAGAAGAACAATGCCCAGTGCTTATTCATAGTCAGGCTGGCTGAGTTTCTGTGTCAAATTTTTTTCCTGGGAGGTCAGAGGTCCCAGCTTTTGCAGAAATCTCTATTAGGGCTTTTATAGGCTTTCTTTCAAATGCAAACAACTGACTTACCTTACTTTGTGTTATGGACCAAATATGTTCCCCTCAAAAGTATTAACCCCCAATGTGGTGATGTTAGGAGGTGAGGTCATTGGGAATTAAGTTTGATGAGGTCATGAGGATGGTGCCCTCATAATGGGATTAGTGTCTTTATGAGAAGAGAAAGAGACACAAGAGAGCCCTCTCCCTCAAAGGGCACTTGAGCACATCTTAAGAAGGTGTTTGTCTACAAGCCAAGAATCAGGTGCTCGCCATGAACCAAATTTGCCAGAACTTGATCTTGTATTTTCTAATCTCTATAACTGTAAGTAATAAATGTCTGTTGTTTCTGCCACTGTCTATAGTAATATGTTATAGCAACCTGGGTTAGTTTCCTAGATGTATCTAATTAAGAGTAGCATGGGGTGTCCAGATTAAACATTATTTCTGAATATGTCTGTTAAGTTGTTTCAGGATGAGATTAGCATTTGAATTGGTGGACTCAGTAAAATATATTACCTTCCTGATGTGAATGGGCATCATCCACTCTTTTGAGAACATGAATATGACAAAAAGCAGAGAAAGGAGGAATTTGTCCCCTTTATACCTTCTTATCTACTTGAGCAATACATTGGTCTTCCACAGTCCTTAAACTAGGATTTACATCATTGGCTCCTCTAATTCTTGGATCTTTGTATTTGGACAATTCAGTACTCTGTACTTGATTCAATTCAAGTACTTCATACGTGATACAATTCAGTATCACTGGCTTTCCTTGGTCTCAGCTTATAGATGGCAGATAATGGGAACTCTCCAGCCTCTTAATCCCCCTTGGTTACCTTAACCGTTCTTGGTTACCTAAAGTAAGATATTCACAAATTACAGATATGAGAGACATCTTTGGTGGGGGAAGTGTCATTATTCTGCCTACCACAAATACACATATGATAGTGAATAAAATGGGAAATACTTACTCCACAATTACTTTCATTGTTAGGTTTATTTTTACAGCCAAATAAAATCCCATGTATGAAATTGTTTTAGCTTTTATTTTGGTTCCAATATGATGTAGTGTAGCTTGCCATTTAACTAATATATATATATATATATATCCTTTATATATCATATATATCCTTTATATATATATATGTATATATAACATACACATGTAAATCATATAGATATAAACTAATTTATCATGATATATATATATAATATTGTATAGCTTTATTTTATTATTTTAATTGATAAAAATATTACATATTCCTAGAGCCCAAATTCAGTGATGAATTTGGGCTGAATTGCTAGGCAATGGATCATGAATAAAGGAAATTTCATAATAAAATTCAAATTCAAATTTTCCTTAATAGATATGGCTGGCTCATATTAGATACACGGTGTGCACTATTCAGTCAATTGAAGTATTACAATACTTCAGAATACAAACTTAGCTTGATATACTAGTTGGATATCATTACCAGATGATTATTTATGTTTATAGGTATTTTTTCCAAACTTAGTATTTTAAGGCATAACAAAAAGTGTACTAATTGTTGATTATTATCAAATGAGAAATCATTTCAATGTTTATGAATTAGTAAGGAAATTAATAGGAAATTAATAATTTCCTATTGCATATAATTATTAAGAAATAAAATTTACAGTAAGATAAATTAAATGATAGGGTTATAGTGAACTAATGTTATTTTATTCTTTTTCTTCTTTTGGTTCAAATGATTTTAGGCCTGACATGTGGTTTATCCTTGATGGATGAATGGAGACAGTAAGAGAAGGGATGAGCTAATAATGGTAAATTCAGTATTGAATCAGAAATATATTGAGATTCTGAGAGAAATCGAGATACGTGCTTCAATCATAGTTTGTCACTACTGAGATTTGTTGGTTGATGAGCTGTCAATGAATCAAAAGGAAAAGACTTTATAAGAAGCAACTAGACTTGCAAAAAAAGCAGTTTAATACCCCAAAGACTGTATAAATAGAACTTATAAAGTAAAAGTGGCAATAAAGTTTGTAGATTAGAAGGGATAGAGTTTAACTTAGTTCTAAAAAAGACAGTCTCTGTATTTCCCCTTTAATATCTAAATTTTTTATAACTACTTTTAAATGTGATAATGAGTCTCAGCTTTTTTCTCCAAGTAAAGAGGTATGTGTATGCAAAACATGATAAACTACAAGTTATAATTTTGCCCCAAACCAGTCCATTTTAGTTCCATTAGTAAAATATTTTCTATGGTCAATTTAAATCAAGTCTGTGTTATCCACGAGTCATGAATAATTGAAATTCACAGATTTTCCATGGATTTAACTCTGTTGAAAGTTCTGAACAAGGCATCCACTAAAGTCGTTACCAGAGAGGAAAACATGGCTTTGGGTAAGATACTAATTTTTTTTTTTTTAACTTCATGAATCGAGAAGTGGATTATCTTGGTCATCCCACAAAACACTGAAAGTTTTTGTCATCCTCATGACATTAATCAACTACTAATTCCTGATGTTCTCTAAAACTTTCGTTTATACCTACTGTTTTTATGTGCTGTTCTTGGTCGTTCATTTGTGTCTGATTCTTTGAGACTGCATGGACTTTAGCCCACCAAGTTCCTCAGTCCATAGGGATTCTCCAGGCAAGATTACTAGAGTTGTCATGCCCTCCCCCTGGGGATATTCCCAATCCAGGGATTGAATCCAGGTCTCCTTCATTGCAGGTGGATTATTTCACTGTCTGAGCCACCCAGGAAGCTCATACCTATTGCTTACTTCACCAAAATTTATGATGAATTCTGAAGACTTGTGTCTTTGTTCACAAAATTATCTTTTTTTCTGAAATTACCCTTTTTCTGAAAAAATCTCAGAAGTCAAGAACAGACCTATTTAAGTGATATGATTAACTTGTTAGTCTGTATGTCTAAAAGGAAGATGGGTTTTTGAAGAACAATCTACACTTGAGATTCTTCAATTTGGGAAACTTATACTTTAAAAGAACTGCTCATTATCCTTTATTGAGTAATGTCTTGGATTATTCTGGGCAGACCACAAGGCCAAGATCTCCCCAAAATCCATGTTGTTTGATACATTTCAATGTTGGTTCACAAGCTCACAGAGATATCCTGCCCATCTGGGTTCTAAGCCTTGCTCACAACCATCAAGTTTCATTTTAGTCTGTCTGCTTCAACAGAAATAGTTGATATCTTGATAGGAAATGGGAGACGATACCACAGGAATATGTTGAATCTGCCGACTTTCCAACATCATTAGCTAGTGAAATCTGTATAAAGCAATGAGTTCGTTCCAATAGTAGTTACTTAAGTTACACAGAGGATCATCTATGTTAATGGAACATTTTGTTTTGTTTTCCTTTAGAATCAATAAAATGCTCTAGCTTAAATGTTAAATTTGAGGATGCATAGGAAGTCAGAAAAGCAATTTTCTCATTAGCAATTGCATATATAAAATAGAACTTAAAATTGATTTATTAAATTGGAGCATTTGTACCTGGAGATATAACCTTCCCTGATTTAACATTTGAAATAAAGTACACAAAATAATTCTGAATAGAATTCATTGAATAAAGACATCTAATTCATGTATATAATAAAATTTTAAATATTACGTTGTGGCAGAAAGACATAGTAGAAAGGAAATGGAATTTGGTGTCAGACATAGTTGGATTTCATTCATAGTCCCTTCACTGACTTCCCTGGGGGCTCAGATGGTAAAGCGTTTGCCTACAATGCAGGAGACCCGAGTTCAATCCCTGGGTTGGGAAGATCGCCTGGAGAAGGAAATGGCAACCCACTCCAGTATTCTTGTCTGGAAAATCCCACGGATGGAGGAGCCTGGTAGGCTACAGTCCATGGGGTCACAAAGAGTTGGACATGACTGAGTGACTTCACTTTCACTTTCCCTCCATTTACTAGATTTTTTTTTTTTTTCCATGCCACATGATATGTAGGATCTTAGTTCCCTCACCAGGGATTTAACCTAGGCCCCAGTATTGGAAGAGCAGAGTCTTAACCACTGGATCACTAGGAAAGTCCCTTACTAGATCTTTAAGGCATGTAAGGTACTTAAAATATTAGAGGAAATCTTAAAAATATCTGGAATGAGTCTTACTGTCTAGAAATGATTTTGATTAGGTGAAGTCTATTCTGTGCTGGAGGGTAGAGCTGAATTTGATATATGGCCCAGCCTCACATTTTGGTCTATTTGTTCTCTGAGCAGGTAGTTTGGACTAGGCAACAAACTAATCCTTTGAGATACAAGGAATGAGACAAGGAAAACCCTGTCATTGTGGAGTCTATGATCAAGTTGACAATAATGGCATTTTAAAAATCATATAGATTTGATCTTACTGGCTGGAGACATATTTTATTTACTCCTATACTTCTATAGTCAGTTTCCAATCTCAGTGTTTTCTTCATCTCTTGCAAAGAAAGTGAAAGTGTTAGTTGCTCTGCCATGCCCACATCTTTGCGACCCCGTGGACTGTAGTCCACCAGGCTGCTCTGTCCATAGGGTGTTCCAGGCAAGAATACTGAAGCTGGCTGCCACTTCCTCTTCCAGGGAATCTTCCCAACCCAGGGATTGAACATGCATCTCTTGAGATTCCTGCATTGGCAGATGGATTCTTCACCACTGAGCCACCCTAGAAGCCAGTGCTGACCATAAAATACCAGATAAAGAAAACTCTTCAGATTATATATTTGGCGATAATATTTACATTGCTCACAAAATTTAAACACAAGACCTTACACAGAAACAGGCAACAATGGTAAAGTTGTTCAATGAAACTCAATGAAACAATATATTCATCTGTTAAATAGAGTATGATAATAAATTTCCTGAAGGATTGTTTTACATTTAAAAGAAATAACCCAAGTGCAGTGACTAACAGAAGATATTTTGTGGGTTCTCAATAAAAATCACTTTTCTCCTCCTCTTCTATTTCCACCCTCAGTTGCCAACAACTTCTTGAGTAGCTGCTGTAATGTGGTACTACATGAGAATTGGGGAAGTACCCAAAGAATATTGAGTAGATTTGCAAATGGAAATTAAATTATTAGAAGTAAAGAAACAGGAAGTAAAATTAGTGAACTAGTTGTGGCTGTCTAGAATTTCTACCAAAAGTTAAATTCTAGGATATTCAAATAGACCACAAAAATATATTTGAGGTGGTTATAAAAATTTGCTATGGAAAATACTTCATAAATTTTTACTAGAATTTTTATGACTTATTCCCTTCCTCAAAACATTAAGGATTGAAATCAATAAACTGTGAACATTTACTGACCAAAAAAGATTTTAAATGCTCTTATTTCTTCTTTTTTATCCCCAATACAAATATTATATCATATGTCCAATAGGACATGCTTAGCAAATTCACATTCCTCTTGACTATTCTTGAGTACATGGATTCCATTTTCCAATCTTCCGTTTAAGCTATGTGGGGCTATGTTTCTGAGTTCTAGCCAATGATATTATTAGTATGTGCTGTAGAATGAATGTATCCTCCAAAATCCACATATTAAAAATGCACCCAAGGCTGAATCATGTCAGTGTATGGCAAAAACCACTACAATATTGTAAAGTAATTTGCCTCCAATTAAAATAAATAAATTAAAAAAATAAAACCTAATCCCCAGTGTGATGATATTTGTAAGTCGGGTTTTGAGGGGTAACTAGGTCATGAGCGTGGGGCCCTCATGAGTCAGATTAGTGCCATTATACAAGAGACTCTAGAGATTTTCCTCCCCTCTTCCACCATGTAGTGTTAGTTGCTCACTTGTGCCTGACTCTTTGCAACCCCATGGACTGTAACCCACCAGATTCCTCTGTCCATGGAGTTGTCCAGGTAAGAATACTGGACTGAGTAGCCATTCCTTTCTTCAGGGGGCCTTCCCAACTGAGTTCATACCTTGGTCTCCTACATGGCGGGTAGATTCTTTACCATTTGAGCCACCAGGAAGCCTTCCACCATGTAAGGACACAGAGAAAAGACAGGGGTCTATGAGTCGGGAAGTGGGCACTCACTAGACACTGAATCTGCAGGTGTCCTGATCTTAGATGTTTCAATTTCCCCAGAATTATGAAAAATAAATGTTTGTTGTATATAAGCCACCCAGTTTGTATTATTCTGGTTCCAACAAACTAAGACAATGTGTTAACAGAAGTCAAATGTGCCTTTCTTACACACGGGACATACAAAACTTTTGTATTTTTTTGATAGACACTATTGCTGCAAAACTTAGCAGTTTAAAATAACCTCTTCATTTTTCCTAAATTGTGGAGGTGGGGGCAGTCAGAACTTTCAGAAAGGATTGATTTGGCTATTCTAAGGTAGACTCTTTTATGAAGTTGGAGTCACCTGAATGCTCCTCTGACTGGAGATCTCAAGTAATTCATGTGTCTTTATGCTGATGCTGTCTGTCAGCTAGAAGTTCAGCCAAGAATTGTGACTGGAGGATCTATACGGGGCATTCCAGTAAGGTGGACTCAGGGTAGCTGTAATTTCTAAATGGCATCTGCCTTCTCCAAAACTAAACATCTTGAGTTGTTGTTGTTCAGTCACTCGGTTGTGCCCGACTCTTTAAGACCCTAGTAGGTGCAGCAAGCTAAGCTTCTGTGTCCTTCACTATCTCCCAGAGTTTGCTTAAACTCATGTCTATCGAATCGGTGAAGTCACCCAACCATCTCATCTTTTGTTGCCTGCTTCTCCACTTGACCTTAATCTTTCCCAGTATCATGGCCTTTTCTAGTGAGTAAGCTCTTTGCATTAGGTGGCAAAAGTATTGAAGCTTCACTTTTAGCATTAGTCCTTCCAGTGAATATTCAAGATTGGTTTCCTTTAGGACTGACTGGTTTAGAACACCAGGCAAAGGTAGGATCTACTTTTGTGAATCAGTCTCAGCAGTCACGTAGTATTACTGCACCACACTGGATTAACTGAATTCCACTCAGACTTCTGGAATAGAACATAAACTTTACATTTTGATAGAAGTATCAAATAATGTGGGAGTCATTGTTATATACTCCAACTCTGCTTTTTTCTTGCTTCTAGTCATCTGCATATAGATGTCTGGTGTAACATGGAAGTTGTATGTAGAATTTGCAAAAGATTCCCCTTTTCTAAGACCTTGACGAAAACTATGTGAGGAGGAATTGTTCACTCTTTCATTCCCATAAGAGAGGCATTATTTAGTCTTTCAGTTATGTCCAACTCTTTTAAGAACCCATGGGCTGTAAGACCATCAGGCTCTTCTGTCCATAGAATTTCTCAGTAAAGAATATTGGAGTAGGTTGCCATTTCCTTCTCCAGGGGATCTTCCCAACCTGGGAATTGAAACATGCACTCCTGCATTGACCGGTGGATTCTTC